AGGGTAGGAATGCATGAATTGCAGTGTGGACCGCTGGCCCCATGGGCATGTCGCCTCCTTGTCTGTCATTCCCATGCTCTCTCCTGGTTGCTCTGGTCCCCTCTGCCACTGGCCACGTGCTGTCAAAAGGTAAAATGTGGCCCAGTGCAGCTTTTCAAGGGTTTGTTTGAGCAAACCTCGATTCATAGTGGGAAGCAGCAAACCGCAAGTGGTTGGGAGCTCTCCCCCGACAGGAGCTCGGGGAGGGGTTTCTGTAGAGGAGCTGGGGAAGCGAAGCAAGGGAAGGGTTGGATTGGCCATAGTGGAAGCGGCTGCCTTCTCTGGGAGAGCCTGTTGGCAGTTTGTGGTTCAGACTATGTAGAAGCTTAGATACACCTAAGAGGAAATCTACTGCAGGAATTGGCTCACTCTATAAAGGAGGCCGGGAAGCCCTCCGCCCCCCCCCCACCCCGATCTGCCATCTGCATGCTAGAGACCTGGGAAGGCTGGTGGGGTAGTTCTGTCTGAGTCTGGTTGCCTGAGAACCCAGGGTGGCAGCGCCGTGAGTTCTAGTCTGTGTCCAAAGGCAAGGGAGTCAGGGGCGCTGATGTCCAAGTGCAGGAGAAGATGAATGTCCCTGCCCAAATGGAGGGAGCACATTTACATGTCCTCCATTTTGTTCTAGATGGACCCTCAGTGCATTGGATGATGCCATCCACATCAGGGAAGAGCGTATTTTTTACTTGGTCTCATCAATCAAATGCTAATCTCTTTCAGAAACACCCTCATAGACACACCCAGAAATTATGTTTTACCAACAATCTGGGCATCCCTTGGCTCAATCAAGTTGACACATAAAATTAACCATCACAGACGGGAACCTCCTTAGCAGTGTATTCTAAAGTGTGTGTGGGGGCGGGGAGGGGGTCAGCAGTCAAATGCAGATTTCCAGCCCCCCTCTGGATGCCACAGAATCCAAACTCAGGCAGACGGGTACTCGAATAGGCAGTGCTCAGCAGCACTGTGGCTGAGGCTGAGATCCCGAGCCTTAGAAATCCTGCCGGTCTAGTCCTTCCTCCTGCTGCAGTGGGGAGGGCTGGAGCTGGGGCTGAAGCTGGGTGCTGCTGAGCCACGTCCGGGAGGGCTGTGTACTGAAATCACCTGCGGGACTTTGAAAGGCCACGGATGCCTGGGCCCCACCCCGGAGATGCAGGGTTTGCTGATCTGGGACGGGCCCTGTAAAGCTTTCCCTGTACCACTAACAGGTGGTTGGTGTTGAGAACTGCATGTCTCTGTATCAGGTTTTGGGGTCCATCACTGGGTAAAGACAAAGGCAAGTGGTGTGCTTAGTATTATTCAGGATTCTGTGTCCTTTGGGAGACCTTCCAGGCAGGAAATATCCTTGTTCCCTTGAAATTAGGCTTGGCCATGTGACCAGTTCTGGCCAATGGGTTGACAGAAGTGATGTCATTTCTGGGCGGGGAATGGGTGGGTCCAGGTGCAGGTGCCAGCGGCTCGTGCTGCCCCTTGGCCACACTGGACCACACAGGATGCGCAGTGTGAATGAGAAAGACCATCTTGCTGTTTGTACTCGCTGAGGGTCTGAGCCCGTTTGAATCTGGGTTACACCCTAGCTTCTCCCAATAGACACATCTATAGAACATTATAAAAAAGGACTAAAACTAACAGGAGTTCTGTATCATAAGTGCCTTCTTCATTACCTTAATTAGACAGGTAAACTGGGTCTTTGTCTAGATTTTCCTCCTCCTTTGTTTTTAAAATGTCACTCATTGATAGATGAAGCCAGCCTTTGATGCTAAAATGTTTTCCATTGCCTTCTCAAGGTAGTGTGCTGTAAAATGTATTCAGTTCATGGAACTTGCGTATTTAGTTTTTCCCTAGGAAACAAGTGTGATGTCATGCAAAAAATCCAAAATGATTATAGCGAGTGATGGTCTTTTCTCACGGAGAAAAATGCCTTCAGAAAATTGATTGATCCTTTAGTGATATGCACGCTGGAAGTCTGTTCTCTTGACTTTTACCAAGGGAAATCTCAAGTTAGGGAGAAGGAAGAAAATACACCACTTACTTAAAAATGCATTTTTTTCCAGGAGAAAATTTAGCGGCTGTGATGGTTATAGTGCTTTTTTGTAAGAAAATTTTTTTCACTGTATAGTACATTAGAATACCATAAGCTTTCCGCCAAGGTGAGAGCTTGCATTAAACAAGCGGTGGTTCTTACTTGATTTAATTCTTGAGCAGAGTGATGGCCAGGCCTAGGGAAGGAATAGAAGGATAATAGAAGTGAATTTATTGAGTTCAAGTGTCCTGACATTTGCATTTTGTGAAATTTTTGTTCCCGCTTCAGGGAGAAATAATTTTAATATACCAGTAAAAGTAAGCAGCCTCTAGAAAAATTCAATACATACTTTAAAGTTATTTTTCTAGCTCTGAACTGCTATTTAGGGTTGAATTATCATATGACATTTTTCAAGCCAAAATTCGGTTAACAAGGGGCAATTTGATTTTTCTGAAATATTTTATATGAAGGTAAGAATCTTAGAGATACCCCAAACCTCTGACAATATAGGGAGAGAGAATGATGATAATGACTTGCTCTTTCTGTAGCACCACTGAGAGAAGCATTTGGAATATGCTATTTTGTGCTCTAGAGGGGCTTCTACATCCAGGGCAGCGTGGGTCCTCAGAGTGAGAAGGGATGGAGGGGAGGGGTGCATGGAGCTCTGGTCCTGTGTGTTTGCATGTTGTCTGGGGCGGCCCAGCAGCCGCCTTCATTCTTGAGAAAGCTTGAAAAGCAGAGAGAGCTATTTTTGATAAGATTCCTAGGATGATGCTTACAAGGAAATAAAGTTGCACCTATGAAGCGGTAATTTTTCTTTTCTTTTTTAAAGATTTTATTTATCAGACAGAGAGAGCGCATGAGCAGGGGGAGGGGCAGAGGGAGAAGCAGGCTCCCCACTGAGCAGGGAGACTGACATGGGGCTTGATCCAAGACCCTGAGATCATGACCTGAGCCAAAGGCGGACACTTCATGGACTGAGCCACCCAGGCACCTCGCAGGTGTGATTTTTCAAATCAACACTGTTGCAAGGACGTGTTTGCACATTTACCCAGGACTCTGACCTCCTGGGGAGCAGGTTTTTGGTGTGGTTGCTAGACTGGCTTTAGCCACCTGGAAACTCCTGTTGGGCTACCTGCCTCTCTTCCTCCTGGGACCACACTCTCTAGGAGAGAGTAAGTGGTGTGTAAGAGGGAAGTACTGGTCAGATGCTCATCCTGGGGGAGGCTGGAGCCAAGCTGAGGACATGGACTCTCGCTGGCTGGCTGCCTCTGTGGGCACCAGCCTGGTCTCATGGTGCCACTTGGAATCTCTAGCTCTGGGAAACCCAGATGAAGTCCCGCTTTCGTCCTGGGTCATGCTCATCCTCGGCTGCTTTGAGCTGCTGACAGCCTCGTGGAAGCCATGGGCACAGCTAACCAACGGGGGTTTGTATACCTGTGGGAATAAACATAAGCTGACTCAGCGGGTGCATTGCTCTAGGCTCATGGTCCAGTGGGGTCCCGAATCCTCTCCGCAAGGAAGGAGTATCCAAGGCTGAGGAAGCAAATCCACCCCAACTGGGGAGGGAGCTGGTGCTGCCCTTCATGAAACTTCCCCTGTGGTTCTCCTTCCTCCCACTGAGGGGGGAAATGGAGGGAAGACCCCAGAGGACAGAGCTGGGAAGGACATGACCGAAAGGGAGGCCTCTCTAGACCGTGGCCTGCTGGCTGTGTCTTTGGCAGGTGAACTCAGCTCTGCAGGTGCCACTGGGGTGGAATCTGGAGGCATCTGCTTTCCCTTCCTCAGGAGGTAGACTTCTAACCCTCGGGGCGCCTCACAGCCCCCTCTCCTAGGAAGTTGAGCCCCAGCTCTCCGCTTGACCTCACTGTGCACACAGCTGCCTTTTGCCCCTGGGCCTGGTCACACACACGCCTCCCTGAGAGGTGTCTGACCAGGAGCCAAGCTGTTGGCCTGAGAAACAGTGGAAGAGCATTGCTCTCTGTATAGGGCAAAATTCCTTCCAAAAGAGGTTTCTAAGGGCTTTTCAGAAATGGACCATTATAATTAGAATAAAATAGGGAAAACAGTTGCTATTCTTTTAAAAGGCTGTGTAATTGTATTAGTCATACTGTTTATTGACATCGGAAAATGAAAAACATGCAAGCGTTTCATTAAATCAAGGCCCCTACGTCGGTTATTTCAATTTTCATTTTCAATGCAGCTTTTATTCTTTTATTCGAGCAGCAGCACTGCTTTGAGCTCTCAGCCGAGGGTGGCACGTGGCAGGTGGTGGTCACTGGACCCACCGTGGACACAGCTGCATTAGAACTATTAGCAATGCAAATAGCGGCACTCCCTTGAGGCCCAAGCTTTACATGTGTATCTGCATAACTGTGGGTGTTTTGCACAAAAGCAAAGATGCCCACTGGGGTGTAACTTCCCAAGTAATCACTCAGGCTACCACGGGTCCGGGATAGGAAAACAGGGAGATTTTGAAAGCATTGTCAAGATAGCGTGGGAAAGCAAATGTCAGGTCCGAAGTCCCCGGGCCCTGGTGGGGTTCTGGGTCTTTCCTGAAGGTGGGCTCCTTTGCATGTTGTGAGCAGCTGACTCTGCTAGCAGGGGAGGCCGGGACCTGGCCGCTGACCCTCCAGGTCCCCCACGGCCTGCAGGCTTCCTGGGAGGAGGCAGTCATACTGCACACCACCGTCACAGGAGCTGGGGCAAGGAAGAGGAGTCAGGGTAATCAGCCGCCCATGTTGTATGTACATGGAAATGTCATAGAACTCATTTCCGGATTGTTCATTTTGGTAAAAAAGTTGGATTTGACTCCATCTCAGTTTACGGCACTTTTGGGGAGATTTGAAATGGGATTTTCAAGATGGCCGTGATGATTTCCTTGCTAATGTCCTTTCCCCTGTCCATGGGCTTACCTTCTTCTCAGAACCTGAGTCATTCTAGGTTCTGTCCTGGCTTGGAGGCTGGGAGCAAGCCTCTCGTGTGCTGACGTGGGTTCCTGCTGGCACGGCACGCAGCTCCTCGGCACCTGGGTTTGCAGTCAAGGTGGGAGGATGCAGCAAGGCCATCTGGGGGCACCTGCCCCCCAGGACATCTGCTGTTGCCGCTGGGACCCTGGGAAACGGAGCCAGCCAAGATGTCAGATGACCGCGGTGAGCCTTCGCTGGCTCTCTCCCTGCTGCCAGCTGGATCCCCTCCCTCCTTCTGTGGATCCTCTTCTTCCCTTGTGGATAACAGATGAAAAGACGCTCTGTGAACCCTGCCCCCAAGGGCATGTGGTTTTGTAACTGGAGGGGCTTGCATCATCCTCCCGAGAATATTATTGGAATTAAACCCAGATAAATATGGTTTTATTGCTCTCAAGAGTATAGCTATTGAACTCTTCCATGGCATTTCTAGAATTCAGAGTTTCAGTATGTTTAGAAAAGTATCCTTCTTATTAATGTGCATTTTTGCTATTCTGGTTAGAGGCTGCTCATCAAAACACCTCCTCTCCCCATGTTCTGGCTCTTTCCCTCTGGCAAGTGCATTGGTTTAAGTCTGTTAACTTCATGCTGCCATCTACCTTACCATCCGAGGGTCTGTGGTTTTTCAAAAATGTTTAACTGTTTCCCAGCCAACCAGTGTAGTGTAGTGGTTAAGAGGTGAGACTCTGAGGTCAGACCCTGCAGGGTCCTTCCCACCACTGCCCAGCCATGTCATATGGCATTGGCAGGTTCTCCTCTGTGCATCAAATTCATGACTTGTATAGTAAGCTGATAACAATACTCCCAACTCAAAGCCTTATTGTGGGACTAAGTACTTAGGCCGGTGTCAAACATAGTAAGAATTTAGTTATAATTCTTGGATATTATGATGTAGGTCCAAAGTCCTCCATGATAAATATTCTGTATATTGGCATCTGAAAACAAAAAACTGGAGGTGAACGAAGGGTCAATCCAAGTGATGACTACCTAGTTTCCACACAGGGTGATGGCAGCCTAAGTCTGGACCAACCCTCCCCCTGGGAAAGGCTAGAGGAGCTGGAGAAGGAAGCTGAAAATTCTCTTTGAAAGCACTGGAGAACTATGGAATTTTGGGGGTGGAGAGAGAGACACAGAAGGCTGAGTCTGTCCTCGGGACAGATCTTACCCTAGCGATGTCCATGGGTTTCTGAAAGTGGCAGCTCAGAGGCTGTTTTCAGTAGGTGCTGGGGCCGGAGAAGCCAAAATGTGGAGTCAGACTTTGGTAACTCGGGGGTGCCAATTGTGATCTCCAGGACAAGCATGGAGAGCATTGCAAAAGAATAATTAAGCACCAAGCCAACAGGTAACAAGTAGAATAATGAAAGTATCTGATGAATCTGAAAGTTGGCAAGAAAGAGATACAGGAACACAGAAGAGGAAGGACGGATAGAAAGCAAATTGTAAGATTGTGCATTCATTTCAAGTGTGTCAGCAACCCCGAGGCTTTGGTTTGGGACCTCAAAAGTTTACAGCTTGAGAAAAAGGATACACCAGAAGTAGGGGAGCCCACACAGACTAGCATTCAGTCCCTCAACCCCGATTGGATTAAGGTGATTTGTGAGTACTAGTGACATCATAGCAAAACTGCTGAAACCACAGGCAAAGAGAACATCCTAAAAAGAGCCAAAAGCAAGCAAAAAAAAAAAAAAAGAAGAAGAAGCCCACATACTACTTTGGGAGAAGCAACAAGTCTGACAGCTGACTTTTCAACAGAACGATGAAGCTCAGCAGGTAGTGCACGCAGGTCTGAAGGTCTAGGGAAGACAGGGGACTTCCTGCACTCCCACACGCTGTGATGGTAGCTCTCAGACAGGAGCCCAATAAAGACAAACAAGACACAAACAAGAATCATCAAAGACAGGAGCAAAATAAATACCAATGATTTTTATCCACGCAGAAGAACAATGATTCCAGATGGAAGCTCAGGGAAACAGAAAGGAATTAAGAGCAGAGGGAAGGGTAAATAGGAGGGTGTATTTAAAAGCATGTTGTAATAATAACATCTTATGTGTTTTTAATATAGAGTCTTAAAATACAAGAGCATATAAATTGGGAGGTGGTTAATGGAGCTAAATTGTTCTTTTTTTTTTTAAAGATGTGTTTATTTACTTAAGAGAGCATGTGTGTGCACCAGTGCAGGGAGGGTGAGAAGGAGAGAGAATCTCAAGCAGACTCCCCGCTGAGCGCGGAGTCCAACAGGGGGCTCGGTCCCATGACCCTGAGATCATGACCTGAGCTAAAACCAAGAGTTGGGCGCTTCACCCTCCAGGTGCCCCTGGAGCTAAATTGTTCTAATTAGAAGGAAATGTAGCCTTAAATGTATATATTAGAGTAAAAGTTAATAATGAATCATCAAAGACTCTGACCTCAACAAGCAAATTAAATACAAAGAAAGTAAGATGATGGAAATAAATATAAGAATATAAAGTAATGAAATAGAAAATAAATATATAATCTGGAGATCTAACAAAGCCAAAGCTGGTTCTTTGAAAAGAATCTTTCAGGGGAGCCTGGGTGGCTCAGTTGCTGAGTGTTTGACTCTTGATTTAGGCTCAGGTCATGGTCTCAGTGTCATGAGACTGAGCCCCGTGTTGGGCTCTGCACTCAGTGGGGAGTCCGCTTCTCTCCCTCTCCTTCTACCCCTCCCTGTTCTCACCAGCGCATTCTCTTTGTCTGTCTCAAATAAATAAATATATCTTAAAAAAAAAAGAAAAGAATCTTTGAAAATTGATAAATCCCTGATGACATCAGGAAAATATCAGGACCCAAGAGGAGGGGATATTGCTAAATATATTGCAATCGCTACAAAGATCATAAGAGGAAAACCATTATGAACAATTTTATGGAAATAAATTTGAACATTTAGGTGAAATTACCAAAATCCTGGAAACACAAGTTAAAAAATGCCCCAAGAAAAAGCAGAAAATCTGAATATTCTTATTAAATATTCTTATCAGAGTTAAATGTCAAATTTATAATTGTATTTTTACACACAAGCACACAGGATATGCTCTACGTTCATAGTTTTACCAGCAAATTCTATCAAACTCTTATGGGCCAAGTCACACAAACCCTACATGAAATCTTCCAGAGAATAGAAAAAGAAGAAACACTTCCCAATTTCTTTCAGAGAAGTCAAATAATGTGAAAAATTGAAATTTGACAGAGACATTGTAAGAACAGAAAAATTGAGTTCAACCTCATTCACAAAAGTCGATTTTAAAACCCCAAAGTATTAGCAGACCAAATCCAGCGATGCATACAAAAGGTAATGTGTCATGTCCAAGTGATGTTTATTTTAAAACACAGGATTGATTTAACATTTGAAAGTCAACTAATGTAATTCAGCATATTATCAGAGTAAAAGAGAAAACTCATGGTGGTTTACCAGATGGGGGAAAAAGCATTTAATAGAACTCTTAGGAAACAAGGAAATAAAAGTATATATAGTTTAACCTGATAAAGGGGCCAGAAATCACCCCCTCTACACATACACACCATTGTATTAGAGGGTGAGATAGCCAATTCTTCACATAAGGCTGGGAACAGAGAACAGACCAGAGTGTCCTCTTACCACTTCTGGAAAATGCTAGAGTTCCTAACCAGTGCACTAAGAAAGAAGAAGAAATAAAATTTATAGTAATTGGAAAGTAAGAAGTAAAACCACCGCTATTTGGAGATGGTGTATTTATGTGCATAAAATTCCTAAAAATTATATAGAGAGATTACTGGATTTAATCCACTCATTCAGCAATGACACTGAATTCAATGTCAACTGTATTTCTATACACTACCAACCAATACCAGAAAATGAAATTGAAAAGCTTTGCCCTTATTAACAGTGTCAGATGGACTACAGGAATAGCGTAGAGTCTTGATGCAAAATTAAGCATATGTATGAACGCTTGATTTAATTTAATGGTGGTGCTGGAGGCAGATAGAAAGCTGGCTTTTTTCAATAAGTGATGCTGGATCAACTGGATATCCATGTGGGCAAAAAATGAATTTCAGTATTGCCTCACCACATAAACAAAACAAATGCCAATCTGCTGGTACAATGTAAAAGGAAAAATGAAAATGAAAGTTCTGTCCATCAGGGATAAGATTTAGAAATCGGACTGTGTTAAAATAAAGAAGTTATGTCCATCAAAGGAAACCATCAAGAGGCAGATTCCAAACAGAGTGGGAGATATTTGTAATACAATAACCACAGATGGAGCCTATACAGATCTCTATCTGTCTTAACGATCTATCCATCCATCCATCCATCCATCCACCTACTTACCTATCATCCATCCATCCATCCATCACCTCTCTGTCTTTCTATCATCTTATCTCCTTTTTTCTCTAGACACTGAGATGTTAGTGTCCAACTCTGGTGACCTTGCCGTTTTTTGGTGTTCTGCTATCAAAAGCCACCATGACCTAGAGACGTATTCAAATTTGTCACCCTGAAGTAGTCCACTCTTCTTTCCTTTGCTGAGCTTGCAAGCAGAGCACGATTCTGTTAAATCAAAACAAGCAGACCCATAGCCTAAGATCTATTTGTCCTCTGCTAGGGCTGCTTCCTGAGACCTCACCTGTGTCGTCTTTTCTGACCATGTTCAGCAAGATGGATGGGGGAGTAAAGCCACTGTCTGTCTACACAGGTAAGGTACTCTTTAGCTGTCCCCACTCCCATACCAGCTGCCCATGCTAAAGACTTCTTTCTTTTATGGGCAATTAAGTTAACCTTTGCCTTCAATCCTTCAGCTTGGCTAGGGCAGTCAGCTCCACTTCTTGCCCATCTACAAAATCTTACAGAAGATGCTCATGAGCTCAGGAACAAAGTGGCTGCTCGGTGGAGGGTCATGCATGAACCCAGTATGTGCTCGGGACGTGCTTTTAGTGCAGTGACTCCTACATGTGCCTGCCTGAGTTGGGGGATCTTTCCCTGATGGCACCTTCTTCTGAGAGATTCTCCAGATGGCCACAAAGCCTGATGTCCTACAGCATTTGGATTGTGTCTCTCATTGACCTACGTCAGATCCTGGGAACCACTTGTTTTCATGCTGCTTCATGAAATCCGGACATTGTGTGGAGGAATAGAAGAAGCACATGGGAATAGAGAGAGTCATAAATGAAATCACAGCCTCCTGAAAAGAGACCCCACCATACGCATGATGATATGTGTTTAGGGAAGCACAATCAGTAACATATAAATCTTACTTGATGCTAGTGGTTGTATGATTTGAATTTATGTGAGAGTTTGAGTCAAGACTATTCTGCTTAGGGGCGCCTGGGTGGCTCAGTCATTAAGTGTCTGCCTTCGGCTCAGGTCACGGTCCCAGGGTCCTGGGATCGAGCCCCGCATCGGGCGCCCTGCACCGCGGGAAGCCTGCTTCTCCCTCTCCCGCTCCCCCTGCTTGTGTCCCCTCTCTCACTCTGTCAAATAAATAAATAAAAAAAATCTTTAAAAAAAAAAGACTATTCTGGTTATAATTGAAAAGTGCTGATAGAACTTCCTGAATATAATGTTTTGATTTTCTTTTCTTTCTTATATTTTTTCTTATATTAGTTTCAGCAACCCTTAGTTACATCAGTTTCATATCTGCCCACTCCTGGGATCCCAGTGAGTGTTCTGGTCAGAAACATACCCTTCAAAGAAGTTCCTGGGCGGGAGAGGTAACGTGGATGAAGGGCAATCTTCATTTTCCCTTAGGTGCTAGGATCCTTAAGTGCTATCCCGAAGCTGTTAAACTTTATAACGAGTAATTCTGTTTCTATGGAAAGCTTTTAGATATATGACATATATGTATTCATACAGGTAAGGCGCACTACAACATTTTCTATACTTAAAGTGTGATACGGGTAAAGAGCAAACTGTCACCCCAACCACTGAAAAGGAGGAAGGAACCAAAATGAAGTTTTTTTTATTCTTTTCAATGGAAGTCCAATTTCTTAAGTTCCTGCCTCATCTTCTGTGCCTAGCCATTCATTGCCTGGTCATCAACTCCTCTACAGGAAGGGCTTGTGACATAAAATAGGCTGGGTCTCCCACCCACAGGGAACCCCCCCCCAGGTGGTATGATGCTGGGCACAGGAAGTGATGCTGCCTCTCCCTTGGCCCCCACACCTGGCGCACATGGCTCCGTCTGCACACCTTCATGAGTGCACCATGACCAAGACCAGCTGATGGCCTTGGTGGTGCTCCACAAGGGGTCAAGGGGCACAGGGTAGTGATCAGGAGGTCCCAGCAGAGGCGAGAAGCTGGGGGACCTAGCTGTAGCAGTGGGTGGGCATTGCTTGGGCTGGAACGAGAGCTTGGATCTGAAGCCCTGTGGGCTTCAAATTTATCATCTCCCAGGTGAGGGGACTGGACACATGCTTGCCCAGGCCTCTTCTAGCTCTGACATTCTAGGATTCCTTCTATATGCACAACACAAGGTGCCTTTCCAATTGGGATGGCTCCCGGGGAGGCTGCGCTAGGCCACATGGTCAGTTGTCTACAGGGGTTTTCAGCTGTTATTAGGTAAGGGTTTAAAAATGTCCCCATAATCTGTTTAGAAATCATATGCTGGTAAACTCAGGAGAATTTTTATTCAAAGGAAACTGTTTTTGCTCAGCATGTCTCTGAGTCATGTACTTACCTGGTCTAGTAGTGAGGTCAGCCAGCTCTGAATCAAAGATGCCTTCATACTGGGATTGCTCATGGGCGGGAGCCATGGGCCAGCTTGGATGTCTGGCACAGCTCGTGGCAGTGCCCTCGCTTACGCTGTGGATGCTCACCATCTGCTTCCGTCTTCCCTCTGTCCTTCCCTTATCTCAGAGATAGTTACTGCTTTTGTACTAACACTCATGCCCTGTGCTCATGGGCAGCAGGGCAGGAGGTTTGGAAAGACCCACAGCCACTGGTGGAAGTGGGCACATCATTCAGGAAGGTGGCGTCACATACAGCGGTCATCCTGAATGTTCACCAGTGTTGGTTCTTTCCTGGCTGTTCGGGGGCAGCAGGGAAGGAGCTTATTTCAAGAGCACGTGTTGAGTACTGATTGTGTGCTAAGTGCTTGGGGGTCAAACTTAGGCAAAACAGCGTGGTTGTAAGACGAATGATTATCCTCAAGGAAGAGATGAAATAAACTCTCTAAAAAATAACACTCAAAGTTGCAGAGGGAATTCCCTAGGAGAGGACATCCCAGATGGTTCTTAGGGAGGGCTTTACAGAGGATGTGGCCACTAAGGAGGACCTCGAAAGGCAAACGTGGCTTTAAGAGGTGTGGATGGGGTGGGGGGAGGGCATTAAGGGAACGGGGTGGGCGGGGCTTCCCAGTGTGGAGCTGGAGGGATGATTTTAAGTGATACACAAGACAAAATAAGTACATTTATTGGGAATTCCGGGTAGTGGAGGCAGTGGTGACTGTGTGAATCTGAAACATACAGTGCAGCCCCTAAGTAAAATAAAGAGGAATAAGGAAAACAATAAAACCTTGCAAAACCAATGTCCTCAGCATAACTGGAAGACACAGAATGATTCCCCCCCCCAAAAAAAATCTCTGTAATTAAGAACAGAAGCCCCAAATGCAAAGAGTGGGCCCCTCCCCCCAGCTTCAGTCTTTGCAGAGAAAATGTGCAGTTCACAGGGGCAGAGGGGACCTCATGGTGGTTCTGAAATTGACCTGAAGTCACTGCTGGAAAGAGAAAGGCACCCTCAGTATGAAAATACAAAGTTCTTTGGTGGATCAAAGTACCCGCTATAGAGAGGAGGCTTAAAACTGAGCTCTGGATGCGAGGAAGCCACCTTGAGAAGGTGATGCTCTGGGAAGAACTGGGGCAACAAAAAAGGAGAGGTGAATGTTATACCACGAAGAGAAAAAGAAGCAAGGGCATATGGGACCCCAGAAGGAAAGCAAAGTCAAGGGACCTGCACTGCCTCCCTTCATGGCCACTGCCAAGTGAGGATGCTGATCCGTGCGGTAGGGACTCATACCTCACTGTGCCGGGAGAGAACAGAAAGGGGTAATTTGAACCAAGTGTCTCATAAACCCCACAGAGTCTCCAGCTTTGTCTATATAAATGCAGAAGCACAGACTGTTTTTATCTGCACAAAAGTACTATGAAAGGGACATTTAAAAACAGGACTTGAAACAATTCAATGAGAATAAGACAATTTAAAAAGGTGTGAATACAAACAAGACATCCAGAACAAAAATATGAACTGTCATCCATACCAAAATAAATAAAATTGAAATAAAAAAGCAAAGAAAACACATCACTTAAACAACAAAACAACAAAAATATACCACACAATAATTATGATGCCCAAATAATATATTGTTTCAACAAATGGTGCTCAGACGTTCACAAAGACAAATTTAGACCCCTTTGTCACACCAGTCACAAAGAGTAATTCAAAATGGATCATAGATCTGAGTGTAAGATCTAAAACTATAAAATCTTTTTTTTTAAAAAAGATTTATTAGGAGAGAGAGCAGGAGGAGGGGCAGAGGGAATGAGAGAATCCCAAGCAGACTCCTTGCTGAGCACAGCCTGACATGGGGCTCCACCCAGGACCCTAAGAGCATGACCTGAGCCAAAATCAACAGTCAGATGCTTAACCTACTGAGCCACTCAGGTGTCCCAAACTGTAAAATCTTTAAAAGAAATTTTAAAGGGAAACGCCTTCGTGGTTTTGAGTTAGGCAAAGATATCTTAGATAAAACACCACACACATTCATGAAGGAAAAAAAATGATAAATAGGACTTCATTAAAATTAAAAATTTTGGCATGTCGAAACACACCATTAAGAAAATAAAAAGACAATCAAAAATGTTTGCAACTCATATATTTGACAAAAGCTTTATATCCAAAATGTCTAAAGAACTCTTACAACTCAATAATAAGACAAAAAAAAATTAAAAGTGAATAAAAGGCTTGAATGATTTCTCCAAAGTAGACGTATGAATGGCCAGTAATCACATAAAAAAGACGGTGAATGCGTTAGTCATTAGTGAAATGCAAATTAAGACCACAGCGAGGCCCCCTTTAACACACGCACTCACTAAAATGGCTCCAAATCCAAAAGATGGTAGGAACAGGAGTTGGTGAGGTGTCTCTGGAGATACAGGAGAGGGGACTTCCTCTGCTGGTGGGAATGTCACTGGTGTAAGTGACTCCGGAATGTGGTTTTGCAGTTGCTTAAAACGTTAAACATGTATTCACTACAAGACCCCAAAATTGTACTCAGAGATACCGAAGAGAGATGAAGACATATTTGCACACAGAGTCTTTCATGTGGATGCTTCTAGCAGCATCACTCATAATAGCCAGAACGTGGAAAGAACCCACGTTTGCATCAACTAGTGAGTAAATACATATGCTGTGGTCTGTCTGTACAATGGAACACTATTCACAAAGACAAAAGATAGAGTAGTATTTGCCACAATACGATGAACTAAAAAACATGATTCTGAGTGAAAGAAACCAGGCAAAGAATACCAAATATTGTGTGATCCCACGTATATGAAATATCCAGAAAAGGTAAATCTGTAGAGACATGAAGTAGAGTTACCTGTGCCTGTGTTGAGGACAGGAAGGGGGATCAACTTCAGAAGGCCGTGCGGTTATTTTTTAGGGGTGATGGAAATGTTCTAGAATTGGATTGTGGTGTTGATTATACAGCTCTGTAAATTTACTAAAATATCAGTGGATTTTACACTTAGAGTAGGTAAATTTTATGATGTGTAAATTATATTTCAGTAAAGCTGTTTAAAAAATAACAACAGGGTTGAAACCGAACGTATCAGTCTTATCAATACAGGTGAGTGGGTTTAACCCACTGTGTAAGAGAAAACTATTTCCAGTTTCCTTCAGAAAGGAAGTCTCAGAAGTATTCTGCATGCGGCAGACTCACCTACCACAGAAAGGTTCAAGGGTGGTGAAAGTAAACCCATGTGCAGAGACGTGCTGTGTGTTGAAATGAAGGTCAGGTAGTGGTACTTTCACTGGACCAGTAAACGCCAAACACAAAGCACTAATACCTGCAACAAAGAAGGACACCCTTTACGGCTAAAAGCCACAATTCACAAAGAGGTTCTAATAATTATGAATATTCATATACCACATGGCAAAAGAACCAACATTGAAAGGCAAAGACTACCCCTTCTGGGTGCTTCTGGCCGGACTTACACAGACATGGAGTCTTTAGGACCTTGCTCTCATATAGGACAGAGAAAGAGCTCAAAACATCAGTTAGAATATGGAAGATGTAAAAGACATAATAAGGTAGATTTTTGGAAATGTTATAATTTACACTCTAATA